AAAAAAAGTCAATTTACAGTTTCTCCAAATTTTGTCATTTTAACAGCGTCCACATTATCTTTRTGGGCATTATTATTATTTTCTGCTTGTTCCGTAATGCTATTTGCATTTTTATTACCATAAAATAGAAGCATTTCCCTTTTCATAATACCACGATGCCGCTGCAATAATTTTCTGATCTTGTTGCCGGCGTGGAATAAATAATTACGCATATGTTGTCAATATTTACATTTCCACTGTTTAATTTAAATCTAACGGAAGTCCCTGGGTAATTGGAGCAGCAGCTAATGGAAAAGAAATGATTAAAGCGTCCTCAGTAATAACAAAAACCTCGACTCGCTCTACTGTAATTTAAGTTAGCATTTCRGAGTTTACGCTTTGATCACATCAGCTGTTGATTTAATTTCCAGATGTACTTTTAAAGAATGTTGGCTAATAGTTTTGAAGTAAAATAAAAAGAAGACAACCCTGAACTTTTTTTTTTCTTTGAAATCCTTATCACACAGCCGGCCCTGCTCACAGTGTTTCATTGTGCTGTGAGTGCGTACGGCGTGTGTTTGTGTGTGTTTTTGGCTTGCAGCACCAGACCGGGTCAAAGCAGCTTAGTTCCGATCTGCTGGGTGACCTGCCCGTGCCACGCTGGCCCTACTGACCCGCATGATTTCATTATGGAGAGGTGAGATGTACACTCTCCCTACACACACACAAAGTCATGCAGTCACCGACACACACACACACGCACACATCCCGCGCCCGCTTCTGTGGACGCAAAAAACACAGCGCAAGGTGTACCGTTTAAAATTGTGAATTTTACCTTTTTTATTTCACTCAAAGCTCACTTGTCCAGTTGAAAGTTTAATTGCATWAAAAAAAGTTTTGAACCAAAAATGACTAAAACTGAGTTCTAAMTATTCCTAATGTCCAAGGCGTTTTRCAGAAAGAAGACAGTTRCAAAAATRTATCCACAATAAAACTAAATGTTACAAAAATACAAGTTGAACACCAAAAACAAAACAGTGCCAAAAAGGGATTTTTCTTTTTATTTGYCAAACACCTTATGTGTCTGAAAACACATTAAAGACAAGTAAATGCTGCTTGTGTCATTGTACTTTAAAGAAAACAGTAATTACTAATTTAACTCAACAGAAGAAATTAGAGCTTATCTGTCCTCAGCCTAATGAAAAGTTAGTTCCTTATAATGATGTCAGACTCAAAGCAAATTTCTTCTATTAAGCCTAAACACACACACACACACACACACACAAGTGCTCTAAAGTGACATATGGGGTACGATCACTAGATGGCGATCTAGGTTAAAGCTGTGTGCTGCTGGGATGCCTTGGAAAAAGAGCAAACACAGGCCTTGTCAGCAGTTTGTTGGTCWGTGGCGAGAGATCCTCCTTATTAAAGTCTACACTCTCGTGGCACGTACAGCTTTTGAATATAGAATAGGTTTACCCTGTTTTCCAGAATTGTGGATTTCTCTCACATTTGTGATGACAGTACAACTRAAGTTTAAGGCGGATGTGCCACCCTGGGACACTGCTGCTGTCTCAGAATCTGGGATTTGACCCCAAGGTTGTCCTTTYGGTCTCATGGAGGAGAATGGGGGCAGATTTGTGCCTGAGTTTTAATTAAATAGTTTGCTTCAATGCTATTTTTGAAGTCTATCGACCACAATGATGAATATTGTGTTTGCACATAATCCATTCTTTAGCACACAAACTTTTTTTCTTCTTCTAAAGCAGGGGTGTCAAACTCATTTTCACCGAGGGCCACATGAGCATTATGGTGGCCCTCGAAGGGCCACTTGTAATG